TTTAGATAGAGGCACACATGAATTATATTAAACTATTCTTGAAAGTGGAGTTATCCAAGACAGAAAAAGCCTTAKCGTGGAGCTTAAGGATTGGGATGACCAGTTATTTGCTTCAGTTGGATCCAGAAACTTGGGAATATGATGTGCTGTTTTGGAGGGGCTTGGCATCTCTTGGTTTAAGAAAAGGAGAATGGATAAAGTTTAGAAAGGGAAAGCTAGAGAATCATTGCTTGCACAACAGGGGAAAGATGGAACATGGAATATTTCTGAAGTGATTCAAACTAAAGTTTAGAGGAGTCAGTTCTTGGCAGAAGAAGTTTGAAACTCAGTTCTTTCAGGGGAAAAAAATCTCTTATTCCTCATTTGACTCTGAAATATAAAGAATTCTTTCATAACTTAGATGGATTTGGGATCAGTGTAGCAGCATCTCTGGTTTTTTAAAGACCAAACTCTTTAGGAATAAGTGAATGTACCAGGATGAATTTATTGGCAGGAAATTCTGGTAACTGAAGCTCTTTTATATAGAAATTTCCTCTTTTTTTAACTTAAGAGCAGCAAGTCTGAGTCTTTAAGTGCAATTAAAATTATTTTATCAAGGTCACTTCCGCGCTAACACTTTTTTTCAATGTTGGGTTTTCCTCTACCCTCTCAGCAGTCCTGGTTTTTATTTTTAAAGACAATTCTGTCTCACATTCTCTACTTCTGCTATCTCCTTTCTACCTGCTGCCTCTGTCATCTTAGCATCCATGTCCCTGCTTCACAGAGTTGCACCTTTTTCTCTGCGAGTTCTTCTTATGCGTACTTTCAGTTCAAGTTGTTCGAACTTTCAATTCAAATGGATTGAACCATAGTTCATCTCTTAAGTCTTTACTTTCTTTTTCATCCTTAAACCTTTATTTTCACTCTAAAACTTCACTATTAAACCTTCTCTTTCCTTTTCTGTAACTAGACTTGGGTTTCTGACACCTCACCTTAAAAGGCCTTACTGATCCAGCATCTTTCCCACTAGTTTCAGAAGATGTTCCTGAGCCCATCCCCCATCTTCTCTAGCACCTTGCTGTTTCCTCCTGTATCTTTTCCTACTTCCTCTTTTTTGACACATCTTCAGTGTGAAGCATCCATAGATCTCTTCCCATCCTAAAAAAAAAAAAAAAAAAAAAAAAAAGAAAGGAAAAAGAAAACAAACTTTTCTTGGCCTTATGTAATTTTCTAATTATTTGTCCTCTCACATCTTGAATTCTTATGCCAAGTTTTTGTTTTGTTTTCTTTTTAAATAAAAGAGCCTGCTATATTAACCATATACTTCTTCACTTTGCATTCTCTTCTCAGTCCACTACAATTTGACTTCTACAATTTGAAACTATTTTAGTAAGGGCAATAGTGAGTAACTAATGGTTCAATACACAGGATACCTTTTAGTTTTGATCTTCCCTGACCTCTGTTTCCCAGTGGAAGTCACGTATCTCTGTTCACAATATAACATAGCCATGGCATTTATAATTCGTCTTAATTAGGATGAAATCAACCTTCTCTAATTTTTTTCATGCCTTTTCTTTCTACCCTTCTCCATAATGACTCAAAATCTATACTATGGTCTTTAGCAAGCAATGGTAATGTAAGTCTGGACTGTATTTTTCTTAGTAATTTTGCTTGATGCCATAGGGTGAAAATTCTAAACTTCATGAAAGAAGGGCTAGAGCTATAATAATCTTATATGTTCTATTAACCGTTTGAACACTGTTAAGTGTAGAGCATATAAGAAACTTGGCTTTGTATGAATTTGTCCTTGGATGTCCTAAGGAATTACATCCATTTCATAATCTGAAGTTGGCTTCATGCTTAAACCAATACTTTATTGCTGAACTAGTTAGAGTTGCATTAAGATGTTATATGGCAGCTACTAATGAAACATGGGAAGCTAAGAGAGAGACTCTGGCCTGAGATTAAGAAATGGGTGGAAAGTAAAGAATTGTTGCACACTTTTAATAAGAGTATTTGATTCTAATTTTTTCAGCTTGATTTTTCTCTGGGGATTTAATCATGAGCAGTGGCTCGTCTTGTTCAAATGTCAGTACTATCACTTTTATGTGGATGATTCCTGAACTGCAGTTTTAGTGCAAACTTTTCTGAACTTCAGGGTATCCACTGGCTGTGTGTATTTTCTTTTGGATGTCCTGCGGTGAACGGTGAATTTTTAAACAGTGGCAGAAAACCAAACTTGAATCTTTTTTTGTTGTTGTTGTTGCTTTTACTATTATACTCTATTGGTATTATATRTATAATATTATATATAATATTACTATTATACTCTACTGGTAGAGGAAGTCATCTCCTACATCTCTGATTCAATCTACTTTTCTTCCTGTGCAGCACTATTTTCCAGCTACTGAGTCAGAAATCTAGGTTCCTCTCCTTTCTGATTCCTCAAATCTAATTTCTCTTAAGTCTACTTCCTATGAGGGTTTCTAGTACATTAGTTAGAAATTCTTATAAGTCAGGTCTTTGCCATCCAATCACTCCTTATATTTAAGCTGAGTGATCTTTACCTTTAGGTACATATATAAGGCACTAATTTAGAAAAACAATAAATAGGAGGAAGACCAGTAGAGTAGAGGAAGGGAAAAGGGAGGGAGGAGTGAAGGGAAAGAGGAAATACTGGGGATTGAAATGGAGCAAATTATATTCCATGCATATATGATAGTATAATAGTTAAGGCAACAACAACAACAAAAAAGATTCAAGTTTGGTTTCCTGCCACTGTTTAAAAATTCACCCATGACCACAGGACAAACATTAGCTGTCGACATGTTCAGTGTTTTCATGCTCTGTGTATTTCAGGGTCTTCAGCACGCTTTCCCCACAAACCCTCTTCTTTCTTCCTCTTCCCCTACCACTTTTGACTTGGCTAATTTGTAAGGGATTTTTAGCAGTCAGTTTAGAGACCCTAGCATTCAGGAGATGTCTCTCCCCTGATCTTCTTCCCAACTTTGAGTGGGTCTTCTCTGGATTAATGATTATCATAGTACTTGTCTCAATATACCCACCAGCTTTTCTGCACTCTAAGCTTGTGACAGCAAGCAGACTTGCCTTGCCCATCATACCACATTAGTAGTCCTATAAAATGTTCCACAATGCACAAAAGAGTAATCCCAAGCAAAGTTACAAAAGCAATTCCAATATTAATGTGGGCTGCATCTTACAATGTGGAGCAGGCCCAGAGAAGAGCATGGGGACATTGGCTATTGATATCAAGTTTTTGAATTAAAATAGGATTGGGAAATATATCAAATGCTCTTCAATAATTCAACAAATGAATATGTTCCTATAGATAACTGGAATCATACAGAAGTATCTTCAATTCTATATGATTTTTAGAAAATTATTTATAGTTAACAAAACTCAGGAGAATTAACATAATAATTATAGCAATAGCTAATATTCACTAGTTGCCAGGTGTACTAAACACTTTATATTGGTTGTTTTACTTTGATTTAAATTTCTATTTATTGTGATACTGGGGATTGAATACAGGGTGCACTGCCACCAAGCTACATCCCAACCTTTATTATTATGTTTTTTTCTTTTAAGTTTTATTTTGTGATAAGGTCTCATTAAATTGCCCAGGTTGGTCTCAAACTTGGGATTCTCCTACTACAACTTCCCAAATTGCTGGGATTATAGGTGTGTGCCACTGTGCCTGGCTAATTTATATTATTTAATATAAATAAAAGCCATCATAAGTTACACAGAGGGAAAACCCCCAAAACAAATATGAACGTTTTGGAAGTGTTTTTGGCACATTAGCTAAACACTTCATGAAATCAACATCAATGACACTTTGCAAAGTATAGGACATGTTACTTCTATCCTTCATGCTTTTTCTGTTTCCAAGGGATAGCCATCTGAACATGGTTCCTGGAATATATTTTGCTTTTCTTGTTATAATAAGGACACCCCAAATTAATAACACTCTGTATTGGTGTAGGTGTTTCACCTTTAAAGGAATACTTATAGATACAGATACTATGTACCTATATATTTAAAGCAAAAAAAAAATGAAGAATCATGTTGAAAGAAAGTAAAAAACTTTTGTCTCTCTTAAAATACATATTAGCACAAATTTGATTTTGATGATCCCAAACTAAAATACAGCTAACTTCAAGGGCCCTTGAGTGTTCTCCCATAGGTTTGGGGAAAACTGGGTTTCTGAGATGAGAGGCTGGTGGTCAAAGAGGATGGCAAGGAGTCCAGGAACCAGGAAGGATATAATGTGCACCTATTGAAGCCCCAAAGGCTGCTCCCAGAGCAATGGAAGCCACCTTTTGCCTGTGACAGAAGAGTGGCTCTTCTTTTTAATCTTTGATAAACTTTAGAAAAGTTGCTTCCCTCTTCACCCATCTTCCCACCAGCCTCATTCTCACCCAGCTACTCCTTTTAGGCATTGCTCACAGAAAAAGGAGAGCAACATTGTCATTGACTGCATGAAGGACCACACTGGACCCTGGGTCATTGTACAATCTTACAGATTAAGCCACAGATAACAAAGAAGCTATTCTGGAGAAGAGAAGTTCAACTTGGATTAAAAAATAGTAGTTGAAATACAACTATATGCAATGAAAGTCATTAGGGTGTTGCTTTTGAAAATATTCAGCTCTTAATAACATTATAGGAAGATGACCAGTTGTTTCATATACCATATTGTTTGGTTATTGATAGTAACAAACATTTAAATAAGTTGTGTGAAGATGTGTCAAAAGATATACAAGGATTTTAAGATAACTCAGACAAGCAGTTCCAATACATAGAAAATTTAATTTAAAATAACTTAAAATATTTCATCATTAAGAAGTTTTAATTCAGTGCCTTGGCACCAGGGGTTTAAGAAAATGTTTGTGTCTGATCTCCAATTAGTTCAGGTAAACAAATAACTGATATATTATGTATACAAGTGTGTGCATATGTATAGATATATAGACATATATGTGCACATACATATATGTGTACATGTATTCAAATTATAGATGTATATATACTCAAATGTTTTCAAGATATATATATATATAGATATAGATTCAAGGTATATAGGGATTTTCTATCTATATGAAACTATGTCTCTGTATGCATGTATGTGTATATACACACATATAAAATCTACCCTCACTTAGCAGTGGAATTTTCTAATTTTACTTATGGCACTTATTTTGGAAAGCTTAACCCCCTAAAGGGGCACATTAATCATACATGAAACAGATTTCTAGTCTTGTACTTTAACAAAATTTTTTAAACATTTAAAAATTAATCTATTTCTACTCTTTCACTTTTAATTACTGTAGTCTTCTTTAAGATTGTTAATTCAGATATGGAATGAAATTTATTTTTGTGGAATAAAAGATAATTCTGAGCTGGAGGAACCTGAGTATACACTTGGACCTATCTCCTGTCATTTAGGGGAACAGATGAACTAGTTACTAAACTTTGCTTAAAAGGTTACATTTTTCAACTATTAGAATGCAAATATTTATTTCATGAAGTAATTTTCTTAAGTCTCTTTTTTTTTTTAGCCATAGACACAGCAAAGTAACCATGCACAATTTAGTTTTTAGCTTGCTTCTAATCTGACTTTGTTTTTTCCTAGAAAAGTTGTCCTCCAAAGTTAGTAGCAATAGCAAGTATGGCTGAAAGAAGTGTGGTGCTTCATAACCACTACTTTGAACAGTTATATCTTTCCAGCAAAATGTTTGTTAAGGTTCTTGGGAACCTGGCACTTCCTCTTAGTGCACAGCCAAAGTTTTGTGTTCTAACATGTATAAGAAGTTCACTTGGGAATTTCCAAAGTCCTCCATATTTTCACTTTTGTGTGACTTTTTGAAATGCAATTTTTTAAAAAAAATCCATGATTTACTAAATGTAACAAATTGCTAAAAATTTCTGACAAATAGACCAATTTAGGTCCTATATGTGGATTTCTTTACTTAAAATCAAGAATTAAGACCAAAAAATAACAAACCTGAAGATTTTATTTTCATAGGGGACTTGCATAGAAAGGAATATATTTGTATTGCGTATGTTTGTATATAAGTATTTTTGTTTCCTGAACTTGTCTTTATTGTGGGTATACAACTCAGAGATGTTTTTATTTGGCCACTGATGCTCATAAAATAATATCTGAATTGTGCAGGAGTTTTTTAAATTTAAGTGGTCAAAACCATAGTTATTAATATATGAAGAATTCTCTCTAGGTGAATAAATAAGAAAAGTACAAAAAATTAGGAAAATATGTAAACTCAAGTTATGAGGTATTTCAAAGGTACAGTGCCAATAAAAAATTTCTTTCCTACAATTTGCAACTGCCAGATTTCTTGCTTTAGTTGTTCTATTCTCATGTTTGGAGAAACATAGAAGAGTTCAAGATAAAAGCCCTTTTGAGGATATGAGGGTTGCAGTAGTTCAGAGCAGAGTCAGAAAAAGAAAGGGATAAAGCAATACTTACATGTATTTGTATAAGAACAAAAATATTGCCTTAAAAGTTTTTTTTTTTTTCAGTTCTATAAACACTTTTATAGGGCACATGATTGTCTGTGTGACTACTCTTTCCAGAGGGAGGTTTTGTTTTTGCTTTTTTTTTTTTAAATACTAGGAAAGCATGACTTATTCAAATTAGATTTTCCATGCTATATTTAGTTTTACAGATGTGTTAGTTTTAAAACTGTGGTTTACTGTATTTTGGGGGAGAGAATATATATTAAAAAATCCTAGGAAACCCTATATTCAGACAGAGTCAATTTCAACACTGCACCATGATCTCTCAATTCTGTAGCTTTTTGCTTCCATTAAGTAGAAATCCCCAAATTCTCTGTATGCATCTAATTTTCCTGGCTGATGTCTGAGAAACTGAACCATTATCACATTTTCTGAAATCCAGGTTTTAAAAGTTTCTCAAAGCTATTTGATCTTTTTCTGGTAGTTAAATAGGTCGTTCCTCTTACAGAACAAGAATCAGGAACTCCCAGCCAACAGATTTCTATAATGTATATAMCAGAAACACACGGCTCACATGTGACTATGTTCCCAGTCAACATACCATTCACTCAAGGGGCAAACCAGTAATGAGCCAGACGTACATACATGTGCAAATGTACAATCGACAGTAAATTATTTTAGATTCTAATGTCCTCTGAACATTAAAAATGAGCTGAGAGACAGCTCCTGTGACATTTAGTATGAAAACTCTAGATTGCAATTTTCATGATGAAGTAGCTTCAAATCACATCTCGTGAGTTTCGTATTGCACAGCAAAGGACCATACTGAATATCATGCCAAAGATCTGAAACAGAAGGAACACTTGTTAGTGACTTTCAAATGTGTATTATTTGATTAAAAGGTCAGCAAAACTGCTTAGGTGTCCAACTCAAGTTAATAAGTAATAATTACAATCAATAATTACTGGTTTATATGTTTATGTGTTCCTTGAAGATGGCTATGGAGCAATAGTTCTTTATTCGCTGCTTAAAATGCATTATATTATTATTGTTAACAAATAACAAGTCTCTGTTTTAAGAAAAGGAGTGTTTCTGGCTTATAAAACAGGTCTTAATAGTTGTAAAAGATTGATATACTAACTGGTTTTGGAGTTGTATATTTTAGGGTTAATCCTAGATCATTTATGTATTCATTTGAAAAAATGTGTTCATAACTTCTTGTTGTTTAAAGATACTTATGGTCCAAATAGTTTTCTATTGCTAGAAAAGCTTTAAATTCATACCAAAATGTGGGTCATGTCTTCATTCCTTGCCCATTTTGATGTTCAAATAATTCTTCACTATTTAACTCAATATTTTTACCAAAGTACAAATGGAAGTATTTGAACTATGATATTCCTAACTTCTTCTACCTCTTGAATAGTTCTCTGAGAAGCAAAATACTTGGGCCAACTCAATATCCACTTCCATGGTTTGAACAGAAGAATTCCAGAAGATTCTTCCTGTCTTCAATCATTTCCTCGATGTTTGTGCAGAGCCTGTGGAACTCTGTCTGTGGGTGCCCTTTTGTAAGTGACTGTCAAGTTTTAGTTTTTAAAAATGGGCACCATAACTCTCATTAATTCATTCCATCATAAATCAGACTAAGATCTGTAAATGCTAAACACAACAAGGCACGAATAACCAGTTGTTCTGGAAGAGCCCTGTAGACTTTAGTAAGGGCATAGCCAGGAACAGGATTTCATGCTTATGGCTGTCAGAACTCACTACTAGCGTGTGGCAGGGAGACACCTAATGGACATTTGGTTAACTGATTACACTAGGCGACTCTCCCCTTATTAGAACAAACAACAAAATAATTAAATATCCCCCAAAGGATAATTGTATTGAAGGCTGGTCCCCAGCTATTAGGAAGTGGTAGAATCTTTACAAGGTAGAGCCTAACATAAGGAAGGATATTAGGATCCCAGTCCCTCCTTTCTCTCTTTTGCTTCCCAGGTGCCATGAAGTAAGCAGCCTTGTTCCACCTTATGTTCCCCACCATGATTCTCTGCACGGGCCCAAAGAGCTCTGGGGCCAAATGACCATGGACTAAAACTCTGAAGCTGTAAACTTTCCTCTTTTTAAGTGGTTTATCTGAGGTATTCTGTCACCGTGATGGAAAAATTAGCTAACACACCATGGTCATAAGGTTGGTAGTACTCTGAAGAGATGCCCTCAGAAAGAAACTTCTTCAGTCTCAGCCTGCTGCTGTCAAGAGTCATGGGTGACTTCTTTTGGCTGTTTATTTGTTGAGACTGTAGAATAGTTTGGAGACTCTATTTATACCTCCATTATAGAATGTTTTCAACCCACCTGCCTCAAGATTGTCTTTGAGGAGCTGCAGAAATTGCAACCAAGCTAGCCCTGGATCAGATGGGGAGGGCCTGACAGGTGTTGCTGAGTTTAGGGGTTCTCAGCATAGTGTTTTCAATCACTGTCCTGCCTCTCTGTGCACTAAATTCAGAAAAGGGGAAAAGTGCTTGTGTGTCCCCTGAGAACTACCAGTTCATGGATTTCCTCACTGTTTTCATACTTTAGTGAGGGCTGAGAGCCAATCTTTATAGATGTCTGGAGAGTATGTACTGGCTTGGCATTAGTTATTATCATCTAATCTCTGGACAATGGAAATCACCTCCTCACTGGCCTCCTGGACTCCAGTCTCACATTAYTCCAATCTTTCCCTGATGGCTCCATCACATCTTTCTAAACCTCAAAGACTCCCCTCTCCTTAGAAATGAAGCCAAATTTCTCAGAAGGGCACATTAAAAAAACCTCAATCATGTGGACCTCATACCCCTCCAGTGTCATCTCTGGTCATTCCTACATACCTGTCCATGGCTATCAACTCCTCTATTATACTCTTCTTTTGTACTTCAGGAGTCCCAAACCACCTGGAAGCATTATGCCTCACACTCTCTCATATGCTGACCCTTCCTTCGCCTAGTTTCTAGGTTTGGGAACACTCAGAACAGCTGGCATTTATTGAGTGCCATATGTGCCACAGGCTTTATATGAATTAATTTGTAATAATAGTTTATATGTAATATCCCATTTAATCTTCACAACAATCTTATAATTTGGTATAGTAAAATCCCAATTTTTAGCTGGGGGTGATGGTGTACACCTGTAATCATAGCTACTTAGGAGGCTGAGGCAGGAGGATCACAAGTTCAAGCTCATCCTGGGAAATTTAGTGATACACTGTACTAAGCACTGTACTGTACTAAGCACTTCCCTCCCATGTATGAGGCCCTGGGTTCAATCCTCAGTATCACCAAAAAACCCATTTTACAAAAGAGGAAACTGAGGCGTAGAGAAATTAAGATACAATTCCAGGGCTTGTAAATAGTGGAGTGAGGAGTTGAATCCAAATCATGTGATGCCAGAGCTTGTCCTATTAGTCACTGTGCTGTGCTGCTGCTTCAAATCATAGGTAAGAAAGATCAGGGTGATATTATGCCATTTTGAATTGAAAATCACTTACCTAACTTAATATTGATGGCCTTAAAATAGATGTTATTGTGCTGATATGCTCAAGGTCACAATTAGGTCAATGTTGAAATTTATATCATATCTTAGAGGACTAATTATTGATGTATTTAATTAACTTTGTTCTTAGAAAATGTACCATGAATAAATGTCTTTGTCCTTTATGAGAATTCTCTTTTAAAATACTGCTATCTAAGAAACATAATGGGTGCTAAAATTACTGCATCAAAGTGGGTGTGGAACGGGATATTTACACGGTCTCAAAGCATCTTTCCATAAAACATTAACTATGAAGGAAGAAAGAACAACTTAAAATGGGCAGATCTTGGAAGATACTACTTTGTTGATGAGAGGACACTTAACATTCCTAACCATGGGGCAAAATGACATCTTGTGGCACCTGAGAGGTGTAGTGAGAAAAGCAGAGTCATTTCTGTGACATATCTACCCCAAATTCATAACCTCATACTTAGCATATGGAAACAGCAGAAAAACTCAAATTGAGGAATATGCTACAAAATACCTATCCTATAATTTTAAAAAATGTTCAAGTCATAAAAGTAAAGAAAGGACGAAATGCAGTCAAGGTTCTTGAAAGGATTGAAAAGAACATTGTAAGAATCCTTTTGCTATTAAAAGATATTAGAACAGTTAACAAACTTGAATGGGGATTTATAGATGACTAATAGAAGGGTTTTTTTGTGTGTGTTTGTGTGTGTGCTTTTCTTGCAACTATTCTGTAGGTTTGGAGTTATTTCAAAATAAAAAATTAACATCACAAAAAGTAAGACTTTTTGAGATCCTGACATAAATGTTATACCTAAATACATTTTTGGGACAATTAGGAATTTGAACACTGTGTATGGATTGGATTATATTAAGCAATTATTAATTATTGTAGTGATGGTTATGATGATGTGGTTATTTAATGAATAAAATGATGTGATGCCTCAAAATAAAAAAAGATACTGCCATCTCACACTTCAAGAAAAATCATATGCAAAAGTTTGAGGCTCCTTAGAGGGCAAAAAAGGTAAGTTCTGGAACTTTCTCACCGTGAGACCTGCAATTCCAATACCGACAATTCCGATGAGCTGGAGCTTAACACTGATTATGGTCTCAATTTCATCAATGCAATTCTGTTTTGAAGAAGAAGAAGAAGAAGAAGAAGGAATGAAAACTGCTTGTATGTGAGAATCATCCCCCTCATCCAATCCTTTCCTTCTCTACAGATCATTCTTCTGTGAGAGCTAATCTATGTCAGCTTCTGCCCATATTTAAACCATTCCTCTTGGGTAACATCATCCTGGTAACCTTCAAGCAAAAATGTAATTTTGGGAAAAATACAATTCTCTTCTTTTGGTTTCCCTATTTAGGCCAGTAGCTGCTCAGAGCCCTAAAATCTGGCTGGAGGAAGTTGTTTCTCTGAGACCTGAGGCATATGAAAATTTGAGGCCTCTTCTTACTTTAAGTGAGGAAAAATAAATATTCCTAAAATAAGAACCCTTTATTTTCATACTGTCACTTACAGTTTAAAAGATTTTCTACATACTCTATCCAATTAACTATGCAAGGTAGGCATTACTTATTAAGAAACTAAAAAGTCTGTATAGGTTCAACTTAAACAAAAACTGTCTATGCGGGCCAGGTCTGGGGAGTTAGAGGACCATTCTCTCTTTTGGTGGCCAAGTGGGCTGTGGGTTTTTATCATTACGCCCATAAGAGACTGTGAAGCCTGGATTCAAAGGACCATCATGGACATGGGAAAAACTGGACAGAGAACAGTCTGGGTTCACCATTTACCTTCTTAAATGCTAAATCCTGTTGGTTTTTCTGCAGTTGCCTTAGTGGACCTTCTTGGGCTTTTAGTTTCCCCCCAAACACTGCATTTTCTGCTTTTTGTGTCATTGCTAAGACTGTTCCCTCTGTAGGCAGACTATCCCTTCTCTCTCATTAATTGCTTAATTACTTCTCACTTTCCAAGATTTAGCTGGGAGGCATCATTACCTCTACTCAGCCTTCACCTGGTCCCCCATCCTCTGGCTTTCCGAAGTAACTCCCCTTTGTACTTCTATAGCACCACAAAAATTCAACACATCACCACTCTGTGCCCAACTACATTTTTGTACTGTACTTATTTCTGTGTTTACTTCTCCTATCAGACAGCAAACTCCTTGTCCATAGGGATCTTTTCTTATACATCTTTGTATCCACAGTGCTGGTGGGAGGTAAGTAGTCAATAACACTGAACTGACCTCCACCATAGCACCTGGCCCTGGTGACCGACCATTCCCTTCTCCTTCTATGGTGTCTTCTCACTTGTGCCTGGCTACTTCTCTTAGTTTCCTCACTTGAGCACTCCTTGTATTTGGCTAGTCTTTTTTTATGTTTGCATAAAAAGTTTACATTTTATTTCGGCTTTATATATTTATTCCAAGACTATAGTATGTGCCTCTGCTACATATATTCTCTCTCTCTTTTTAAAAACATGTGTATATGTCTTAATAAGGAAATATGTAGAATTTACTTTAAAAATTTACAGACACATATAAAAACTCTCAATCACACTTTCCATGTAGGAAGATGATAAATGACAGAGATGCCCGTTGCTAGGCTTAACTGCTGCTATTCCGCAGGGTTCTACCCTTGCTGTTCTTTTCTTCTAGATCTCATGGGTCTAATCCATATCTATAACTTAAGATTCCATAAGTCACTGATACTCCAACTTCTCACCAAAGTCACAAACCAGATTTTCCAACTGCCCATTGGATATTTCCACATAAGTTCCTATGACTCCTTAAGAAATCATCGTGCTAAACACTGGACTCGTTTTCTTTCCTCCATAACTGGCTCCTTCTCCTCTATTCCTCAACTCAATAAATGATACCATATCTATACAGGTGGAGGAGCCAGAAACCCAGAAGACAGTCCCCCCTCCTCTGATGGCTGACTGGTCATCAGTCCTGAAGACTTTACCTTCTTCTTGCCCTTCCTATTGCTCAGTCCAGTTGTCTCAGTTAATATTTCATGCCTGAGAACAAGAAAAGTCTTCTTGTTCTCATGTCTGGCTATTTATTTTCCACGAATCCTCCATACTGCTACTAGAGCAAACTCAGCAAAACACACATCCTAGAAGGGGAATAGCTACGATGGTGGAAGGAGACGGTCATCATTACACAACATACATGTATGAAGATGTGAATTTGGTGTCAACATACCTTATATACAAAAAGAGATATGATATTGTAGTATAAAGGTGTATTCAGAATTGTATGCAAAAAAAGAGAGCTCATGTATAATGGCATAATTTGGCGTGAACATATTTTATATACAGAGTTACAAAAAATTGTGCTGTGAATGGATAATTATGAATGTAATGCACTCCACTATTGTCATGCATGTAAGGAATAAACATACACACACACACACACACACACACACACGTCCTATCCCAGACTCTACCTTTTGTGGTTCCCTAAGCCAGCAGTATGAAGGATAGACTTCTGGCTTCAGGAGAGTATCCGAGGACCTTCAAGAATGGGTCCATCCTCTTTGAAGAACTCATCTCCCACATACACGCTGAGATTTTAGGCTCTTCGATGCTGCACTTTCCTGAATGTAACCACCTTTCTCTGCCCCCATGCCTGTGCCCTATCCCGTTTGCCTGGAATATCCCTCTCTCTTTCATTTGCTTACTGAACTCCTACTCAACCTTCAAATTGCATCCTGATAATCACATCAGGGAACCTTCCAAGGGCCCAAGTGAGTCTGCTGTGCTCCCTCTCACGTAGCCTTGACTCAGTCTGTGGGGTGCTAATGGCTCCACCGTGTGTCTCCCCAGCTGGATGTCAGTACTTCATGGGTGGAGCTGTGCCTTGTTCATTTCATTCAACTCAGAAGGACCCAATAAATGTTCAAGGGTGATTAATGACACAGCCGGAACTTACAGCTCATTGTCCCTTCACAGCTAAATGCCTAAAAGCATCAATATTACCGTGTCTACTGTCTCATATTTCCTTTTTTCTTTCCCATGTTGTACCTACGCTTTCCCCAATTACTTCAGTGAGACTATGTGGCAAAGATCACTAATGATCCTCTAAGCAACAAATACTGTAGTATGGACTCTCTCGGACTTTTCCTTCCCAGCCTCTTATTCTGGTTTCTCGTCCTCATCTTACCCTGTAAAAACAACAGTCTCCTCACTCTTTCCTTCTCTCAGGGTGTTCTGATTCACCCCGAGGGCTTCAGCTACTGCCAACATGCTGAGATTCCTACACCTAAGTCATCCTCTCAGGCTACCTAGAAGTCCCACAGGTACCCACGACAAACTTGATCAAAACTGAAGTTATCCTTTGCCTCCAGGATCTGCTCCCTTCACCTCTATCAGTGAGGAGAGCCCCTATCCATACAGTCTCCCAAGCAGAATTATGAAAATCTTCGCCTCCTTCTTTCCACTCATAACTTATATCCAGTAAGTCATCCAGAATTGTTGATTCTACCTCCCAAACATTTCTGGAATATCTCGACCCTTCTCCTTCACTACTGTTTGTGACTTGCTCTGGCTCCTTTCCTTGTAAGAAAGAATGACCAGAGGTGTCACCTAACTGGTCTCCCCCTATTGTCTCCAACCTTCCATTCTACCCTTCATGTAGGGCAGCCTGAGTACTCTTTCTACAATGCAAAACGGTTTATGTTTCCTTCTCTGCTAAAAGCGATGGAGTTTTCAAACCTCCAGGGGCAACATCTTGCCTTTTTCTGCCTCTCCCAATGTGACTATTGCCATTCCCTCAGGGTCCCTGTCCTTCTGCAGTCCTGGAGCTTCTCACCAGCATGCCTCTGTTCTTGTGGCTTGCTGGGCCGGGAATGACCTTCCTTTGTCAAAATTGAATTCCAGGATCCCCTTCTACTCGGAGCTTCCCTACTTCTGTTGTGTTTCCTGACATCCTGTATAGACTCTTGCATATCAGAGCCCTAGACTACTTGGCAAGGCCGCTGAGGACAGGGACCATGTCCTTTTCATCTTAGAGTGGCAACATGCCTGACGCAGCAATTTACAGATGAGGCATTTATCAGCACTGTGACTCTCCTGGAGAAATGTGGGGCAACATTTTGGGGGCACACACCTCTGGACCTGGTGAGCATAATTAATACCATAAGCATGAGGGGCTCATAACTGGCAAGTGAGGGGCTGGGGTGGTGGCTCAGAGGTAGAGTGCTCGCCTGGCATGCGTGAGGCACTGGGTTCGATCCTCAGCACCACATAAAAATAAAATAAAGATATTGCATCTACCTATAACTAAAAAATAAGATATTAAAAAAATAACTGGCAAATATATACCATCATTCTCCAGGGTACTAGGAGGCCACAACTCAGCACTGCTTTGCTTATTTTGCATGGGGAAAAGGTGAGGCCCAGAGGCCACTGGGAGAGGGTCTCCTAGGGTCCCTGGAAGGTAGAACCTGAGCCTCCTTGCCTCCATCCTGAGGGCAAAAACCATTTCACACTACAGGGAAGGTGGGGGTCCCCGGTAGAAGCTCACCTTGTGGCCTAGAAGTTCCTTTGGGCACGTGGGTTGGACCTGTTCAGGGCTTTCTTTTCCACAGCACTGAAACTAGAAAGTCAGAAAGAGATGTTAGGACAGGAGCCGGGAAAGCGAGAATTATGAGCCTGGGCATCCCTGCTGAGAGCAGGTGGTGCCGAGGCAGCAAAGCAGCTATAAGGTCCTTCTCCACAACCCAAACTGCTATTTCTAGAAAGGGAGCAAAGAATCGCATTGTCATGCTAGCAAACTCAGAAAATGACTTCCTTAAAGCTGCCTGAGTTTCACCATAGGAAGTGACTCAAGGCAACTGAAACAAGGCAAGCAGCTAATAGACAGCGTCTGTGAAAATTGCTGCTTTTTACACAGGAGCTGGGCCTTCAGAGTCCTTCCTTCAGAAGGGGATTCATATAACCTTTTGAGGAAAACTAAAGTTTTATGAGCTTTGAGAAGGGCTCATTAACTAGGGGCTGTCTGAAGGATAGAAGTGGTCACAGTAAACCCCAGGGGTTCAAAGACTGACTTTAAGACAGGCTAGCAAACAGGTGACTTGCTTTAGGGCTTGCCCTGTGAAACAGAGGGACCTGTGTGCTGCTCGATGGCTCTGGGGTACTTGCCAGCATTTTTTTTTTTTTTTTTGTGACAGAGAAGATCCAAGTACCTGAAAACGCTTGGCCCAAGAGTTCATAGCGTTTCTCCCGAATCAGTGTTTAAGAAATCAGAACGACTCTGGCTTGGCCCATTTCCTCTGTCAATCTTCTTTGACTCACTGTCGGTAGCTCTGAGCCCTCCACTGACAGCACGGGCCCACAGAAGGCTCCAGAGGGACAGCCTCTCCTGCGACCCTTCATTTTACAAATGAGGAGATGACTGTGTATCAGGGAGACCAAAAAACTTGCTCAGGGTCACAGAGCTGTGAAGTAGCAAAGTTGCAGCTGGAAACTAGCTTTCCTGACTGACATGCCACACTTGCTTCTGCCACACCACCATGCTGCTGTCTGAGAGATGCTGATATTTATGTGGGCTGCTTTCTCTGTGTTCTCCTTCGCCCTCCTTTGTCTCTTTTGGGTACACACTCTGACTTCCTCTTGTGAACCCGGTGGTAGGCCTCTTTCTCTTCTGGGGTTCTATACAGAATGCAAACTAGGGCTCTCACAAGGGCTAAAATAAGCTGCTGCTGCTTGCCTTTACTGAATTTAATTTTTATTTTGAATCCAGGTGCTGGGGAGAGAACCTGGTTCATACATGATCTTTAGAAGACATGAGGTTAAGGAACAAGTCAAGTTACTTACTGCTGAGTGGAAGGTAACAAGAGTCCCATTTCCCTTTCCCCTGTCTTTAAGGTAATCATTGTAAGCCTCTTCGTACATGGTCTGTACGTGTCGTATAGCCTGAAAAAATACCAGGAAAACTGAGGGTATGCTGAGTGGGAAGTTTCGAACAATCTCTTTTCATCAAAGAAAATCCCTTGTTCTATACCCCTTAAAAACACTGCCTTTCCATGTATTTAAAATGATTCTGTATCTATGACACAGAATAGATTCTAGAGTTTCTTTTCTTTTTGTCGTGCTCGGGATTAAACCCAGGGCCTTGTGCATGCTAGGTAAGTGCACTACTGCTGAGCACATCCCCAGTTGATTCTAGAGTTTCTAAGATGCTTTTGAGGATGAAAGGACAGACTAACCCAAGAAGAGTTTTCAGAGACCAGAAAGATTTCTTAGAGTGGAGGTTTCCAAAACCTGATAGGGCTTCAGCATCACTGGGAACCGAGTTTCCTGGGCTCCACCCAGGAGATTCTGATGCGCAACCAGGGCTGGGAACTACGCAATCATGGTACCTCACTGGTTAAAAGGACTGAAGTCTTCTCGTGGCATTGTTTAACAGATATTCACCACCAAAGAAGACTTTTTGCATTCAAACACCATATAAAGTTTGGAGAATGCTTCTCTGATATAAAAGCATGTGACCCCCTAATCCACAGAAATCTCAAAAGGTCCTACGATCTAGTTTCACTTCTGTATGGAGCTGAGTTTAAAGTAACCTATGAATATAACCAGCTACTTTGGAAAAATTCCAAAAGAGGTGACATTTCTTATTGTATAGGTTTGTCATTTTTTTTGGTCTAAAATAAGTTCATTAACACATTATTGACGGCACATGAATTAATCTGAAATATAGTACATGGACAGTGTCATTCTTCCATTGAGAGAGCCTGCCTCTCTCTCTCTCCAAGTGTTTATTTTCCCCAAAGCCTATTTCACTTGTGGGTTCTCCTGATACTGTTCTGGACACCTGGAGTTGGGCAGCAATCTAAACTGACTTTGGGAGCACACAGTAGGTCAAGTTTTAGTCTCTGAGGATGTCACAGCCTCTGTACAGGCCAAGCCTTAAGGATAAACTAGGGATGCATGTTCTTCTCAGTCCCCTTTTTACTTTTGCCTCATTGTGAACTAGGGATAATCTTAAACTAGTGAGCTTATTTCAAAAATCATACACTACATTATAAATTTAATAAATGCTATGAACAATCTCCCTAGAAAAACACATAGATGTGTTCATATGCATACTAGTACATACACACGCTCAGTCCTATGCACTACTTCTTTAGATTAAGAAGTTCTGCTCATACTATAACTTTGGGCACTATTTGGTTTTTTAAATAACACTYTATGTATCTCATAACTTTTGCCATAAAAAAGTAATTTTTACTTACTACACCCTTGCCTATAAAAGCAAATACTCCAGTGGTTACTTCAGCAGCGAATATCACCAGTAGGCAGGTAAAAAACTGTAGAGGAGAGAAAACACTAATTTCATTAATTTAATACCTTTTCAATGTATTCAGTCCCTTTGACTTTAGTTATATTGAAAAGGTATTAGGCAACGTTATTAGTTTGAGTTGATCCAGCAGTAAGCATTTGCCCCTTTAGTTTCCTTTATGCAACCTTTATTTTTTTTCATTCATCTATTCATTCATTCAGCAATTGTTTATTGAGCATCTGCTCTGCACCAGTTACTGTCCCTGGTGCTTAGTATACTATAGACAACAAGGTCTCAATGTCTCTGCAATCATGAACTTCACATTGGATWGAGGAAGATACTAATGAATAAAGGATTTAAAATTTGAATAAGAGAATTTTATAGAGTGACACAGAAATGCCACCATCCCAGGTCAGTGCCTGGCCACCTATGTGCTCAATAAATACTTGAAGAGCAAAAAAGACTCTATCAAGATATAAAGCGGGGTCAGGAGATAGGTATCATGGGGTCTGGGCTTGGAGAAGAGTGTGGAAAGGCTTCTCTCAGGGGGTGTGTATTGTGGGGAAGTGGGTGTCCTCTTGGACAAATTTCCATTCAGGTCTTGGGTTTGCTTTGATCAAACCAAGTTCATTGATTTGTCATTGATAAACAAGGGAGAGATGCCCAACAGCAGGGGAGAGAGAGAAAGAATGGGTGGGTGGGGAAACAAGTCAGGCATTTTTATACAGCAAGAGGTCAGAAGCAGCAGAGTTAAAAAATCCAAAGGTTGCCATGAGTGACTAAAATGAGAGACTGCCTAATAAACGTGATGCTTCACACTCCCAATGGAGAAACAAAAAACTCTCCCTGCCCCTTCTTTCTTCTTGTTTCACTTATACATTGGCATTGGCTTTATAGCAGTTAACTGATTTTTTTTTTTTTTAACCAGAGTCTGGTGGTTAAAATAAGCCACTAGAGGGATGTTTGGTTAAGTTATTGGTCTTAACCAGAAACGCTTTTCTTATACATAACAGCACTTCCCTTGCCTATAGGGATCTTTTAGCTGCCTCATCCACAGTGAAATATTATTTTTTTTTAAAAAAATAATCATAATTGCCCCTTCCAGTTACTAGGCWCTTTTCCTTCCTAAACATCTTTACACTAATGACCTCATTTTTTTYCACACTTTCCATATGAGGCAGGAACCAAAATAATATTATTCTTAGGCAAGAGACAGAGAAACCCCAGACTTAGGAAGATCAGGGAGAGTCCAGGGCTCAGTGAGTCCTGGGGGACCCTGGGCTGCAGGCCAGGCATCCTGACTTCCTTCAGACCAGCGGCCCCGACCYCATCCCTCCATGCCCCACTTACTGATCCGAGCACACACTGTGACTCCCGCATGGCTCCACAGCACCCAAAGAACCCCACGGCCATCATCAGGGCCCCAGCTCCAACCAGCACGTAGAGCCCTGTGGGAAAGAGGTCCAGGGAGACTGAGTGAAGTGCCTGGCTCTCCAGCCCCTGAGGGCCAGAGCAAACAGAGGGACTTCACTACCACAAACTGGGCTCCAAATTCTAGGCACCCCCGAAGCATTCGACTGTCCACACTGTAATGAGTAACACCTGTTGAATGCTTCCTGGGCACACCGTATGCCTGGGCAGTGTGCCGTGATCCTCTGAGGTAGGGGCTACTATTGGAAGCAAAAATAACCAACACAGTTTCGGCACCATGATGAAAGCACACATAACCAGGACAGGAGAGGCTTCATGGATCAGCYGTGCCTTTTACTCAGGATCAGAGTCGGGCATGGGAGGGGCTCACTTTCCGGGTAGAAAATGGCCCTGGTTCCCTAAGGGATCTGTGTTTTATAGTTTACAATTGAGGGTGGCTTAATCCCTGGGGACTGAAGCAGAATGTGTCAGTTTGGGCAGCCAGGAAAAAAGTTGTAAAAAGTCTGAAACTTAGTGTCACTGGGAAGGGATGGAAGCTCAGAGCTCTGTGCCCATTGCTTCTCTTCTTCCTCTTGGACCCAGTGTTACCCAGAGCTTCACTATTTGCTTTTCTCCTTCCAGGACTCACGGGCAAAGGGAAAGGGTGAAAGTCCAGGGCCCAGCGCTGAGCATCTGCCTCCTTGCTTCAGGACCCATTTTCACTAGGAAGGGATGAATGTTTTGCCTTCTTCCTCCCCACCTCTTCCTCTCCTCCTCCCAGGGCATCCTGTCTTGGGGGTTGTCATTTTCCAACTGTAATCCCCAGTTCAGAGAAGAAAGMCAAGTTAAGGAGATAAAAGAAGCTGCCCAAGGGCACACAGCCAGCAAGAGGTGGAAGCCAGAGCTGCCCACCTCCCAGAGCTCACACCTGGATGACCACAACATGCCTCCTCAGGCCAGGTTCTGCAGCGCAGATTCCTATACCTTTGCACAGGATGTAACAGTGTCCCCTTTATGCTTTGCATATAACCCTTGCTGCTCTGCCACTGCAGCTTATTTTTAAAATGGACATGTTTCTTTCTTTTCCTCTCTCCCTGTTCTTCCCTAATCTCTCCCATCTTTAATCTCAGGGGAAACAGGATTATCTTTCTTCCCCAACCTACGCATAGAGATCTGTCCCTGAGTACATATCCACCATAGGAACGAAATAATCCAGACTTTGGTGATGGCACCAGAAGATCTCAGAAATGACCACCTCCCAAATTAACAAGTGAATTACAACTCCAACAGAGAACACGTGGAATGGAGCCTTTGAATCACCTCTTTAAAAGGCTCTGTTTCTGCTGATGGATAGAATCACAGTCTCCTGTGTTTCTCTCTTGCTAGCAAAGCAATAATTCCTTTCTCTCAAAACCGTGTCCTCGTGATTGGATTGGGACTGGGGACAAGGATGGAGATTTTGGCAACAAGGAGAGTTCTATGATCCACAGGAGATTCATGACACTGAGTTTAGGGGTGGTCAGGAGCTGGTGAGAGAGCTGGGACACAAACCCAGGCCTTTCTCCTGAGCCTCTGCACTTGGGACTTCATGGCTGTCTCTATCTGAGAGGCCTGAGGCCCAGTGTTTGGGAGGAAAAAACAGCTGCCCAGGCACTGAGGGGAGCTGCTCAGACACAGAGGGRGCTTTTGGTTAAGGACAGGAGCAGAGGAAACAGCAATGAAATATGGGTTTTGCATGATTTTTCTCCTTTAGAGGGCAATACTGTAGACCCTAGGCAAAAGAGGCTAATATTAATAATTAAGAGGGGCGAGAGAGAAGGTCTTAATACAATATTAATATTAATATTAATATTAATATTAATATTAATATTAATATTAATATTCTTAATACAATATCAGCCACACCTACGAGGGGCTCATTTTTTTTGGTACTGATCTGAACACCTAGTGTTGACTTTTTAATGTAAAATTTAATTCAGGACAGGCCTGTGAGGTAGGCCCTCTTATTAACTCCATTCTTTAGTCAGAGGAACTGGGCCTCCAAAGAGTAAGCCATTTGCCCAAACTCACAGAGCTGCTTCATGGGCAGTGCAGGCCCTGAAAGCCAGMTCCTTGGCAGAACGCCATCCTGCCTCTCCAGCAACAGCAGCGACTTTAGTTTGGGTGGTGACTTTTACTTCCTACCTAAATCAAACTCAAGAACAGTTGTTCCCACAGGGAAAGAAAAGGGCAGACATGCTCGGGCTCTGAGAGAACTTCAGCCCAGCCTTCCCTGGTTTCCTTCTCTGATCCCGAGATAAGGGGGAACACAATGAGACCTGGTACTTGGCTTTCTTGCAATAACTCTCATAGCCTCTATTTTCTTTTCTGCATTTTACTCAGATGAGTCACCTGGAAACCACTCCCATTTGCCGGAGGTGGGGGCTGGTGTCAGGCCTCTTTGGGGAAGCCCTGAGCCTGCCGTTCAGGCGCTTCCTGGGGCTCCACTGGGTTGCTGAAAGTGGTTTGTGGGCAGGCCTGTCTGTTCAGGGACCAAGCGAGGCTGCTTGGTTTCCTGCATTGCCCGGCCTGGCTCAGGGTCCTTCCCTGGGTTGGCTGCTCTGCAGTCCTGAGGGAGGTTCAAGCTTCCTGCTGTTCCAGCTCTGCCACTTCCTCCTGTTCCATTTTCTCTAAAGGCTAATTCAGTAGGGGAATGAATGTGGTAACTAGAGAAATAATAGCATATTAAAAACAATAATATTGTTGGCGGCGCTGACGAAAAACCTTATCGTTTTTAATAATGTTTTCATTTTTCAAAGCAATTTCACTTCCACTGTCGTCTCATTACTTCCTCAAAACAACCTGGTTAGGTAAGACAAGCGTTTGTTTTACAAATGGGGATCAGCAAGGCAAAATGCTGTGGGCCTGGACCCCTGACTTCCCACCAGGCTCTTCTCACCCAAGCAGGCTGAATGAAGGGCAGCAGGAGGGACACCATATTCAACGCCTTCTCAACAGGTGGCCCATCTTACTCTATTGATTTCCTGCTTAAGTTGTTCATGGCCTCCCCATTGTGACTGCTACAACTGCAACATGATCATCTGTGTGGAGTCACAGCCTGAGGACCAGCACACCCTAAACCCTCATCCATCCCTCACTCCGGCCATCTGGAGATCACTGTGGTCTGACCCTCCCTGCTCTTTGCTGATTTGTGCCTTTGCAGATTCCCATATTTATCCCTCTGTAGATTTTGAAACCCACAAACCTTACTCATTCTATCTAGAGAGAATATGCTGGATATTTCAAGTGGATCAAGAGTAAATCAATTTGGAAGTGCTAGACTGAGATACCTCATCACCCATCTTTGCTTAGAGATACATGCTGGGAACCCATCTCAGCAAACATCCATGAAGCCATSAGAGGGCTGGACTGTCCAAGGTCAGGCAAATGAGAATGGAGTCCCAACACACTGTGAGAAAGTCTGGAATATAGGGGAAAAAAGGTGCTCCTGCAGAGGCTCGGGCTCAGTGGGCAGAGGCCCAGGGTCTGGGGAGGACAGAGTTGATCTGCACTGTGCACAGCAGCTTGATCTCTCTGGCAGAGATCCTTATGTTTCTGAAATAATGAGCTCTTCAAGAACATATGCTGGCCAAGTGTGGTGGTGCATACCGGTAATTCCTGCAGCGGGGAGGTTGAGGCAGGAGGATCATAAGTTCGAGGCCAGTCTCAACAACTAAATGAGCCCTAAGCAACTTAGCGAGACCTTGCCTCAAAATAAAAAATAAAAAGGGCTGGGGATGTGGCTCAGTGGTCAAGTGCCCCTGGGTTCAATCTCTAGTCCCCGCCCCCCGCCAAAAAAAGCTGAGAATCCCAGAGCTCATGGCTAAACCAACCTGTAACTGCACTAGCATCTCTCTGTCCTGAGGCCTCTTTCCATCCAGTCTCCGCTCATGTAGGAGTGTGTTGTTGTGATTCCCCCACTCCCCCATTGCCAGTGAGCCCTGCTTATAGAGCTGGAGAGAAATCAGAAGAAACTGTGCAAGTGGCAAAATTCCTTTTATATATATATATATATTTTATATATTTTATATATATATTTCTTTTTTTTAGTTGGACACAATACCTTTATTCCATTCATTTTATTTTTATGTGGTGCTGAGCCTGGGCCCCATGTGTGCTAGGCGAGCACTCTATGGCTGAGCCATAGCCCCAGCCCGTGGCAAAATTCCTTGGGCCTCCTGAACCCTGTTCCAAATCTGGTTGTAATATTCTACACAACATAAGACCACCTATGACTTCCAAGGATACCTTATCCTTTATATGCTCCTCCTAAAAAAAAAACAAAAACAAAAAAAAACCAGCTGCTGGATGAATAAGTTAATTCGCAGCACATTTTAATTCCAAGATGGTTTCTACAGAGCCCTCTTCTTCCCATGGCACGTGTGATAGATGCATGGCCTATTTCCCAAATCCCTCATGCTTTCCAAGCCCTGCTTCTCTTGATTTAAAGAGAGAAAACACTTTGAAATTTCATTTTTATCTTTAATAGCTGGGTGTTACAATGCCAGTGATCTCTAGTGACATGCTACCAACAAGAGCTTTTTCTGAACATCTTACTTCCCGACAATTACTGCTTCTCTCTCAGATTTTGGATGCGTCTTTTAAAGCAAGTAGCATCAATACAGTTAACACACAAAGGGGATGGCTTTTTAAGGCCTGTTGGCATAAATTCATTGTAAAATGGCTCCCCCTTTGTAGGGACTGGATATTGGTGTGGTCATAAACATTGGCTTTTAGCAGCAGACAGTTTCATATAACTTGCAAATGACCATTTTTCACCTAAAAATAATGTTTTTTTATGCTTCTGCATAAAAACTCTCCTTCTCAGCTTTTCCTGAATGCATATAATTCCACTTGTCCCTCAGTATCCCTGGGGGATTGRTTCTAGGACCTCCTTGGATACCAAAGTCAGTGGGTGCTCAAGTCTCTTATATAAAATRGTGTAATAGTTGCATATAACCTAAACACACCCTCCCATATACTTTAAATCATCTCTAGA